GAGACAGTCAGCGCTCGCTGCGACAACATCGCAGGGGTAACCCAGGCCATCCAAGAAAGATGACTGAGGTGGTTTGGGCATGTTCTTCGTCGACCAACTCAGGAGCTCAATGTTACTGCCCTCGATCCGGCGCCGTTACCGACTCGGAGGCGTCGAAGTGGAGGCCAACTCAAAAACTGGCTCCAGACGGTTAGTCAAGATATAAGGGTGTGGTTCTTGAACCGAACTCTGTCGTCTGAGTGGGGCAGGCTGTCAAAATCCGTTGCCGTTGGTCGCCACAGGCAGGTTAGATCGGGCACGATCACAGCTGCATCAATTATATGTACAGAAAGTAGAACTGGCCAGACGATAATATCGTACGCACACGCTTATCACTCTAGGAGAGTAATATCACCGGCGCCACAAAGTCCACTTTGCATACCCTTGTCTCCGGAAGCCGTCCTCTTGTGTCTCTTTGTTTAAACAACCCGTTGCAGAGTTGCCTGTCATATGCTTTCCCCCTCAAGGGTGGCCCTATTCGCAGTGCTGCCCAAGGCTATGCTATCAAAAACTACTTTTCTAATTGACACGGAAACCAGGTGAGCTAGAAAAGTTAGTAGGGCATGGGGGTGGCATTAGGCAGGCACCTCCCATACGATTTTAACTTGAAGCGAGAGCCAACCCCTCCGGTAACGCGATGGAGTTTGTGATATCAAAGACGAAAGGCCCATAGGAGAAAGTCCGAGCTCATGGGAGTTCCGCAGTCATCTATCATAGTGAGGTTTTTTGACGTACATAAGCGTGGATGCGCTTAGTTCTGGGTGGGACGCAAGAGCCCTTGCAGTTTTATCGCTCAGGAAGAAGAACCCGTTGAGGCATGAGCGGCCGCTCAACATGCGATTATGGCATAAACAGGACCTCTGATCAAAATGTGTGGCTAATATTCTCCCGTGATTGGTCCGCGCCGCCTGCTTATTCCCTAGTTGGTGAGCCGGTGTTGCGTGAGTCCTGTAAACCTCCAACAAGTCGTAAACCTCCTACGATAGTTTGCTTTCGAATGGATAACGGTACACCAAAACGACATTTTCAGTCGGGGGGTTAACGTAACCATGACCGGCGCGTTCGCAAGAGAAGGGGCACGTATTCGAGGACGTGGGTGTCGAGCATGCAACGCTTGGTCTCACAGATTGCTGTAAAGTTGCGGCTTCCGTTTTGTATTGCTCGACATAGCCAAGTCCCTTGGTAAGAAAACGCTGATTGGAACAAGAGCAAGAGAAAAAGCCGTTGGCTTCTGATTGAATAATCGAGTTTAATTGCTTCGAAAGAGGTGTGCACACTGGCTGACAGATGACCAAGAAGATGGTCGGCGACTACTGCAGCGATGGATTAGATCGCCAGCCTGTTCTCCCTAAGTGTCTTCCGTTTTCTGAGGCAACAAAAGGGTCTTATGATCAAGGCGAATTGTAAAAGGCTTGTTCTGTAAGAGGCTGGCTCCTGTAGGAGCGTACAGTAGCTCCGTCGCTTCAGAAAATGTCTTACTGGGGAAAACCACAAGTCTTTTACATCCGGACTTACCAGCCTGCGTGAACACTTCGCCGATCGTGAATCCGCTAGAGTCTGCATGCAGTAGAAAAGGTGGGACATTGTCTATCCTCTCAGGAAGTATAAAAATAAGACTCGGCGTTAACTGAACCCTAATTTTACCAAAAAGCCGTCTGGCATTCGTTGCTTTAACTAATTTGCGCCCACTCTCCGTCCGAAAATGTAGATAAACTAACTATGTCAGCAAAGTGTCGAATAAACTACCGGAAATATGAGTCTAACACAAAGAATACACTGGTTATAACCTAATCAAGGAGGAACTGACACTCCACACGTTTAAATCAGATTGCGGCAACTCGGTAACTTTGCCAGCGTCTCATTTGGGTTATTTAATCGAAAACAATAATGCCAAGCTATATCAAACACCATAGGAAGTAAAAATCACCTAGATTCGGTCGCATTGGTTTTGAAATGTGACGGTGAGAGGAAAACGGTCTCATATCTAAACAGATTTCGTTAATATAGGATTGGAGTTTTAAGTAGTCGGTCTGGTCCAACTCTACTTGCCAGTGGTCAGATCTATGGTCTAAAGTGGAGAACTGTTAGACGCCTGCCTAAGTATTAAACGTGCATCCAATGCGCGGATGCTGAAGGGAGTCATGCATTGTAAACGCGTTAAGTCAACAGTAGTTAAATCAAAAACGCAATTAGTCGTCCTCCGTCAGCACGGGTATGACAGGCGACGCCTATGGAGATAGTAACCGGACCAAGCGTGAGGCAAGCACTGTGCCAAGTAGATCAGAAACTTTCCCCTGAACATTTGCTAGTATGCAATGGTTGAATAACGGTACCGTAGCACCAGTGTCAATGAGCCTCCTAACTGACTGGCCGACTGTTAGGACCTCGGCATAAAACAGGAATATCCAGGAACCAATGCTATCGGCCACAACATGAAATGCACACAACCTGGTATGCTGCTCCTGGGTGGTTTGTGATACAGGCTGTGGTGTACTTACACATCTGAAGGGAACCATGCATGCAATGTTCGCTGATATGAATCGCACTAATTCGGGACCAGGAAGCGTCGCGAATTACTAGACAGGCGTCCAAACTCTGATTCAGGGACTGTTCATTTGCGTGGATATGCAACTTCTGAAAGCATAAACGCACCAAAAATAAAATGACAAGTGCGGTATATGCCAGAAATGGCCATTCCGGTCTCCCTTGTCGTTTTCGGTACCACCTGATTTACATCTACTACTAGTCGCTGTGCGACTGCCTGCGAGCCCCAAGGCACAACGGAACGAGCATGTTCCGAAACCTGATCGGTGAGCGCCCACTGTCATAAGTGACATTGCCGATCACAACCGACAGGACAACGGGCATGTGGCTCAATGGTAGAGCGTCAAACTCCAAGACCAAAGATCCCGGGCTCGAATCTCAAGTGATCCATACTTAGGATTGGATATGACCGGCTGATGACGACTCAGAAGCCAGAACTTGCCATTCCGGTCTCGCTTGTCTTTGTCGGTACCACCTGATTTATATATTTCCCACCTAATTAAAAAATTGCCGCCTACATAATTAGATGAAGCCATTGGTGTCGGTTAATCCGCACACCTACTATGGGGAATTTACGATCTTCTTCCTAGGCCTAACTACGCCAAGCCCTTACTGGATGAATTCATCCAGTAAGAGCTTCAACAGGGAAGAAGTTGTTAAAATGATGTATATACGCCGGACATATGTACATATGCATATATATGCATAAGCCCTTATCTGACAATTGTAGAACCCTACATATGTAGGGTTCTACAAGTTTCAGGTAAGTGCTCATGCATTTTTCAACATATGGTTGTTGTACTTACGATCGCTTTTGTATCAAATGTACAGAAGAGATGGTAGACTAAGTACGGAACATGCACACGCTTTCCACCGCGAGGCGCCTTTGTGCAACCCAAAAACGTAAATGTATACAGACCGAAATGCGTAGGTTATCTGCAGACAATTAAAACAAAAATAAAGCAAAGAAAATTGAGATTAAAAAGGTAAGCAACGTTGGCCAGCCAGAAAAACAATGTAAACAACGGAAGAAAAAATACGATAAGCGTTCTTTATTGGATCAACAGTTTTATTCACACAAAAGTATCATTAAAGCATCTTAGACACGGTAGTCGAAATATCAGGCTTCATGTGAGTGAGTGTGTGCGTCAGTTCGTGAGTTGAACGCTATCAACTCTACGACAAAGGGCACAACTGGCTTCTCTGACTTAATTTTCTGCACAGCAGACCTCCTATGAGTGCTTGTATGCGTGTTTGTGTGGGATGTATCGTTGTCCAGCGTTGGGTTCACGTGACGGTTGTAGTAGGTCCGATTATAATCCGTTATATACCGCCGCATACAGGCCAGTACTGCCCGCATTTTTCGGTTATTACTATTTAAGGTTTTGTCGTCCTGTAAAATTATACCAATCATTTCTAAATTTTTAAGTGGAGTTTTTTTCGCCGCTCGCTTATCATCTTGCTTAACGAACTACAAAGTCAGAAATTATGAATTGCATTTTGTACAGATTCTACCTACCTCGTCTAAAGTTCGTGTGTAAATGTATTTTTACTTGCTTTGATGGGACTTTGGTGGGTCTTTAATAAAAAATTATTATTACTTGCTTGCAGGTGCAGACTACGCCTATCGTCCATCTGCTGGCAGCCAACTCTCATTGCGGCTCCCCGAAGCTAGGCTCTATCTAGCGACCACAGCCCGGTAACCGCCTCAGCCGGCGGGCTAAACCAGGTTACGCTATCCGTGTGTGCATCTGCGTGCACAGTACTGTGGACTCCGTTGGTCGGATGTCTTTTCAGTCTACTCCACCCTAATTTACAGTTCGAGGCTAACTCGGGTCGTTTTCTCACTACACCAATTTCGTGGCCAATAATGGAGTTCGGCAGTCGTCTGGGATGGCCGAGCAGCCCTATTTAGGGTGGCACTGCCAACCCCGCAAGGGAGAAAGGGCTAGAAAAGGTGCCCTACACGAATTTTGGGGAACTACGCCGACTGTAGGCTGACCGTGGTCTCAAACGCTAAACCTACGGTCGAAACAACCAACAAATAAACAACAACAACACTTTCTCTCGTCTTCGTCTTCCTCCTCCTACTTTTTCTTCTACTTCTCCTCCTACCCACCGTCCCACTCGACAGACTGACAGGGTGAGTCCGCTCACTCTGGCAGCCTGGAATGTTCGTTCCCTTTTAGAAAATCCGAGGAGCAACCGACAGAAACGGAGGACGGCGATAGTGGCTCGACAACTGGAGTGCCTCAGGGTGGGCATCGCTGCACTCCGCGAGACTCGATCCTGCCAACTAGGCTAAATAGAGTAGATGGGTGTCGGCTAAACCTTCTTCTGGAGCGGTCGCCCCAGGCAGAGCGACGAGACGCGGTTGTCGCCTTTGCCATCCAGAACAACATTGTGGGACAAATGCCATGTCTGCTGCACGGCATCAACGATCGCCTAATGAGCCTCCGCCTGCCTCTCTGGGGAGGCAAATTTGCCACCATCATCAGCGCCTACCCTCCCCCATGACTAGCCCTGACGCCGCAAGGGCCAAACTCTACGAGGACCTGCATACCCTCCTGGCGACTGTGTCGAAGGCGGACAAGCTGACTAACCTTTGGGAATTCAACGCCCGCGTCGTCACAGACCATGCTGTCTGGAGAGGTGTGCTCGGTCCCCATGGTCTAAATGGTTCAAACGACAGTAGGCTGCTCCTTTTCCGCACCTGCGCAGAACACCGGCTCATCCTGACGTATACCTTTCTCTGCCTACCGATGCGAGAGAAGGCCACCTGGATGCATCCTCGTTCGCGTCAGTGGCACCTGCTGGACTATGTCCTCGTCCGGAGGCGAGGTCAGTTGGACTTGCTGGTGACAAAGGCGAACGCGGGCGCTGACATATGGACCGACCATCGCCTCGTCATCTCGAAGATGCGTATTCGCCTACAGCCTCGTAGGAGACCTCAAGGTAAGCGACCCCTAGGTAAGCTGAATATTTTCTTGTTGTCTCTGCTTGCTCACCATCTTCATTTCAGCAGCGAGCTAGCTCAACGGTTAGACAAACTTCCAGTCGTTGACGCCGCCTCCGCCTCCGGCACAGCTGACGAGAATGCCTCAGTGGGAAACCGATGGTGTCAACTGCGGGGAAACAGTCCAGTCGACGGCGTTAGCCGTCCTTGGTTGCTCGCGCCGCCAACACCAGGACTGTTTCGACGACAACGACGCCGCAATCAGCAATCTGCTCGCCAAGAAGAACCGCCTACGCAAAGCCTACGTAGACCACTTCACTGACGACAACAGAGTTGCTTTCTACCCCAGGCGTCTCCTCTTACAACAGCGGCTTGCGTGAGATGCAGGACGCCTAGGCGGCTCGCAAACCGAGGAGATCCAAGGGTACGAGCACCGCAACGAATGGAAGAACTTCCACTGCGCGATCAAAGCTGTCTACGGTCCGCCAACCAAATGCGCTTCTCCTCTTCTCAGCGCCAACGGCAGTACCCTACTCATTGTGACAACGCAGATTCTGCAGCGATGTGCAAAGCCCTTCCGAAGCGGCCTCAACCGTCATTTCAGTTCAGTTTATTGTGGGAAATAGATTTAAGCCTTTGAGGACCTTATTTACATCGTCCAACTGGGTGCGATTTACGGACCAATTATCTGGGCTGAAATAATTCAAACGAGTCCATAATGGCATGACAAAGTGGAAGTGAGTCTCGGGGTACGAGCTCGATCTCTCATCGCTCATGGTCATTTCGGAAGATAAATAGGCCAATGTTCCTTTTAAAGCTTTGTATGAATGGTGACCTCCCAATATCTGTGGGGGGACATTCCATGGGTTGACCACTCGAACAGGGAAGGAGAACTTCCGCACATCCAGCCTTGCCTGATGAGTGCGCAGGTTTTGCAGGTCACCTAGGCGGTTGGTCTTCGTAGCGAATTCCAAAAGTCCCCGAAAGCCAGGCCGCATTCCAACCCCTTCACTATGCGAATGCTTGCAAGAGATCCCTGCGAAGTGCCCTATAACTCAAAGGCGAGAGTTTCACATTTAGTGAGCGGGTAGCATAGGGAAATAAACTTTGATACCTAACTATATTCGTGGCTCGCCTATGAACTCTTTCAAGGCAATTTTAATCTTAAACTGCTCTTGATGTCCAGGCTTGTATGCCGTATTCCAAGTGCGGCCGTATGAACGTTCCAAATGTCTTTGATGGCGTACGGTAGGGACATTGCGCTTTATGCCAGTCTCGAACAATGAGCGGATGGTTTTAGGGAGTTCGTCGTCAGAATACCGAGGTCATATTGGGCTTCGACGTCTCGTAAGGCTCGCCGCCCAGAAAGCAGTCTCTTATGATGGCGGATCTGATTGTGTTGCCTAGGCGAAGTATGCTACACTTACCAGCGTTGAACCGCAGGAGCCAACTGTTTGACCAGTCTTTGCACCGACTTCGGTTCATCTGCCGTCTGTCTTCGTCGGCAGGGCCCCAAATTGCATTCCATGTCTTTATGTTGTCTGCAAGCATTGCTACTACGCAGTCCAAAGCTCTTGCGCAATCGTCCACGTAAATTAGGAACTAAATAGGTACCAGTACTGACGTCTGGGGAATACCACTGTCAACCACAGCAGGATCTGATTTTCCTTGACCGATACAGACAACCTGCTGTCGAGCCACTAGGTAGTTTTCGATCCCTTTGAGGAAACTGCCGCCGATCCCTATTTTTCTCAGTTTGTATAATAGCCTCTGGTGTGGCAAAGTGTCGCACGCCCTCTGAAATTCAATGAAAGCTATGTGGACCGCGTGCCTGTCGTCGAGAGCTGGGGTCCAGCTCTGGAGAGATCGTAGTAAGTTTGTCGTACAGGATCTCCCTTTCCGAAACCCATGTTGGCAGCTCCATAGCAAGTCGTGGGCTTCCAGGAATTGCATCGATTCTCTCTTCATGATCCCCTTTATAACTTTGCAGGCAATGCATATCAAGCTTATGGGCCTGTAATTTGTCTTAGAGACCCTGCTACCCCCTTAACATGTCGGAGAAGTATGTGCCGGCTTCCAATCGATAGAAAGTGTTCCCAGTGTCAAATTACGCTTGAAAGAGCATCGATAAAGGCACAGAGAGCTCACTGGCAAGTCGAAGTCCCATCAAAGCAAGTAAAAATAAATGTACATGCGAATTTTAGACGAGGTAGGCAAAATCTGTACAAAGTGCAATACATCGTTTTTGAATTAAAAGTCCGTTAAGAAAAATGATAAGCGAGGGGTAAAAAAACTCCACATCAAAATTTAAAAATGATTGGATTAATTTTACAGAAGAAAAAAACCTCGAAAAAAATAGAAACAGATAAATGCGGGCAGGACTGGCTTGCATGTGGCGGTATATGATGGATTATAGTCGGACATCGTCAGGGCCGAAATAAATGTCAGCTGTGTATGGCATTTTATAACGGATTTCATGAAGGGGTAAGTAGGCGGGTCGGTGAGGACTGGCCTGTATGTGACCTTAAATAAGGCAAATAAGTGGCGAAATTAAAAACCAGTCTCGAGGCGATAGGAACCCAGATGCGGTCGGTTACATTCATCCGAATCCATCCGAGGATAGGGCAAGGGAGATGCGACCAGACTACTAGTGTATGGCGAATACAGAAGGTTTCGCCAAGAGCGTCGATGGACAGCATTCTGTGAGGGCACGATGCATGAACTGAAAAATTGGAAAAATTAACATTTCTGGTGAGGGAACGTAGGATGCGAGACTACTCACAAAGGAAGGAAATGTGAACAGATACGGAAATTTAATGGCGACGTACTAAATTTACGGTGGCCCTTTCTCAGTGTCAGAAAAAGTTTAAAGCAAGCCAGGACAGCAGTATTTAGTGGCACCAGAAAATTTCGCGACGGTTTCTCAACTGCAGCCTGTCGTTGCATAACACAAATAACACGTTAGAATGGTACAGAGGTTTGAATTTCGACAGAGAAAATCAATGTTAAACAGCAAGTTCAACGTATACTGCGCGTAGACTAATCAATAAAATGATAACTTCAAAATGCAACAGAGGAATGAAAATAGGGAAGTAAACATGCTGTGGGATTTCGAAAATCAAAAGGGCTCAGGTCTACCAGGGCAAGCTGAGGTTGACCACGTGGTCTAACTGTTTACATAGATCGGCTTTCTCCCGCCGTATATAGGCTGCCTCCAGGTAGCGCAATAACCGAGTAGTTCGTGCTTGAACTAACACTCGAAAAGACGTTTTTGGGTTAACCGAATGGCCACTATCGAGGAGATGTTTTGTAATAGAAGACCGTGGAATCTTATTCTCCTGTTTTAGAAGCCATTTAGGCAGGTGCTCAACTGCTCGGGCTGCCAGTTGCCTTTGCGTTCGCCCAATATACTTACATCCGCAAGTGCATGTAAATTCGTAAATTCAGTTTGACGTGGCGTGCAATGGCAAGGCATCCTTCGCCCGTGGAACTTCGATAGCCTTGGTAGGACTGCAGAAGATGAGTTCAGCTGAGTTGTAAGTTCTTTCACTAGCGCATCTCAATCGCCGCTTGATGGTATTAGAGATGTTGTCGTCCTTAAAGGGTAAGGATATTATAACGGGCTTTTTCGGAACAGATTGCTCCGTCAATTTTGGTCGCAAAGTGTTGCTGCACTTTTCAATGAATCGAGTTGAATATCCCCGTTTAAGCAGGGCTGTTTTGAGGCAAGTAATTTCATCATCCAGGGTTTCAATAGAACAAATGTTTCTTGCTCTTTGGAATAGAGTATAAACCAAATTTCGCTTTCGTTGTATCGACACAAAGCTCAAGAAGTGCAAGTATTGGCCTTTCCATGTATCTTTGTGGAAAACAGATCGCCTTATTGAACCATCTTCCTGTCTAGTCATGAGGACATCTAGGAAAGAAAGCTTGTTGCACTGCTCCTTTTCCATTGTAAATCTAATCTTAGGATGGAGATTGTTCATGGCAACAAGTAGGTCTTCGGCTTCATCGTCGTTATCAACAATAGCAAAAATATCGTCTACATATCTTTTGTACAGTGTTTTCCTACTCAATTTTGCTGAGAACTTTTCTTCTAAGTGACCCATAAAAATGTCGGTAAGGGTTGGACCAAGTGGACTTCCCAGTGCCACTCCATCAATTTGTCTGTATAGCTGTCCATTGAACAGAAATTGAACGTCTTTTGTGCAAAGGTTCAACATGTCACGTAATATGTCGGGTGAAAGGCAAGTTTCAGACGCATGGGCGCATATGATATCGATAGTCTCATTAAGTGGTACATTCGTGAATAGTGATACAATGTCCAAGGATATCATGGTTTTGTTGGAAATGTTCTGATGCTTTAGTTCTTCAATAAAATGGAAACTGTTTTTTATTGTGTAAGCCGAAAATAGGTGTCGTATTAGTTCTAATTCCTTGACAAGCCAATGTACTAGTCTGTGTTGGGGTGAATTAGACATAGACAGAATTGGTCGTAGAGGTATGCCCTTTTTATGCGTCTGTGGCAATCCATATAGTCTGGGGATACATGCGCCCCTCGGTTTCAAGGATTGCGCGGTTTTAGCATCAGTCAGATTTTTATCCAACAATTGTTTAATTATTTTCCAAGCGGATTCTTCCACTGCCTTGGTTTCATCTTTCACTGGCGTTTCGAGACGAAATTTACTAGGATCGTCTAAAATGGATTCCATTTTGGTAACGTAGTCACTCCGGTTAAGAATAACAACTACGTGGCCTTTATCAGGCTTGGAAATTACTATTTGTTCATGGCGCTTCAATGCACCTAGGGCAGCCATGTGTTCTTTAGTTATTGGTGTTCGTTGCGTTATTGGAGCTTAACGATACTGATGACAAATGTCCACTAGTTTTGCTTTCAGCCAACCTACGTCATCAGTGGATCTGGGTATTAGGTCAGACAGTTGCGAATTCAAGTCTTCGAATTGGGCCTCAATTACGACAGGGTTAATTCTTCGGTTGGTGCCATTAAATTCTGCTGTCCTTGCTTGCTTTAAATTCATTCCGGGGAAATATCGCTTCATAGAAAACGTTTTCTGGGAAGGATGAGAAAAATAAAAGTTTAATGGAGTCAGTATTCAGACAAAGGCGTAGCCTTCTCTTAAAGGTGTGTAGATTTTCTGAAGATCTTATTTTTATTCGAACGTTATTCCAGAGGAAAGTATATCTGGAAGCGAAAAAAAGGGAGCGCTTAGAGGTGTAGGACGCTGGAGGAGGTATAATCAAGGACGAGTTGCGAAGATTGTATGGGCGACTACTAGGGGTGAGTGCTGAAATCCGAGGAAA